CTAGAAATGTTTCAGATGTCATATCACTCACAAGTTCCAAATGAATAGCTCGTGTAATAAAACATATAAATAGAGCCACATACCCCTTGTAAGTACGATGGTCTCTCCCTCTTGTCGCTCTCACATTAAATGGACCAGCATAATCCACGCCCGTGTGCATGAATGGCTGTGATATATTACACCGTGCTGGAGGTAAGTTACCCATAAGTTGTGCTTGCGGTCGACAGGCTTGACGAAAACATGTAATGCATTTGTTAATCACTCTCTTCACAGCGGATCTTCCTTCAATAACCCAAAATTGCCGTCGCACATATGCTAATGTTGTTTGAGTTCCGCCATGTAATGTTCGAATATGAGCGTGATTAATAATCAACGTAGTAAAATCATGACATTTGGGTAATATCATTGGACATCGTTCATCTGAAGGAATATTCGCATTTTGCAGTCGTCCATTTAGACGCATAATTCCGTCGGAATCAAGCTTCGGATTCAATTTAAACAATTTACTTGATTTGTTAATTGGATTGCCTTTCCGTAAAGCAGCATAATCGTTGGTAAACTCGGTCCTTTGTACAATTGTTACTAATTTTTTAAGAGCCGTATAACGTTCTTGCCAAGTGCAGAAACTTTCATCTCGACGCATCCTTTTTTGACACGCATGAATAAAACGTAGACATTGCGCCACGACTACGAGTAATTTATCAAGAGTAGCATATCGTCCAAATATTTCCCACACTTCTGTTGATAACTGCGTAGTTAATGAGTTAATCTCTTTTTTCTCAGGTAAACTGTCAGGAGTATGATTGATTTGGTGGTTGGGCCACATTTTCTCATTTAAGCGAAGCCAAGATGGTCCATACCACCACATCAGATTATCTTTTAGTTGCAAAACGGTACTGCCTCGTGATGCACAATCAGCCGGATTATCCTTTGTTGCAATATACCTCCAGTCTTCAATATTTGTCATTGACTGAATTTGTGACACTCTGTTTGCCACGAACTGCTTCAATTTGCCTGGATCAGTTCTAATCCACCACAGTGTGGTTGTATTATCAGTCCACAAAATACAGCGTGATGGTTGACACTTAAATGTTCCTTTAACCTTGTGTAGAAGTTTTGCTGCTAGCAATGCTGCACATAATTCTAAACGTTGTATAGACGTTTCTTTCAACGGGGCTACCTTAGTTTTACTAATAAGCAAATTTACAAAACTGGTCGTACCGATGGTTGTTTTCGCATATACTGCAGCCGCATATGCTTGATTTGATGAATCACCAAATGCGTGTAATTCAATTGCACTTGTCGAAGTGGTGTTTATCCAACGTGGGATTCGAATGTGATGTAATTGTTGTAAGTCAATACGAAAGTTATGCCAAATGTTTGCCATCTCTATTGACAAGGGATCATCCCAATCGGATCCAGTACGCCAGAGTTGTTGCAGAAACATCTTTCCTCGAATGATAACCGGAGCCAAGAACCCAAGTGGATCAAATAACTTCGATATGTCAGACAACATTAGTCGTTTTGTGTAATGATGGTTGTCACAAGTTACATTGACGTTGTAACCAAAACTGTCGGATTTTGTATACCAAGTAGGACCAAGTGTCTTAGTTTTATACTCGGTGTTAATTTCCACATCGTCGGCGTGAGCTTTTACGTCCTCAGTCAGAGTGCTTAAAACGTCATTTGAATTCGAATTAAATTTACGTAAAGTGAAGCCTGCAGTTGCTAGAAGCTCCTGAAGTTCGTGCAATTTTTCTGCAGCTTCGATTGGAGTGTCTCCACCTGATAGTACGTCATCAATGTAAAATTCATTTAGAATCGATTCAGCTGCCCGTGGAAAACGAGTTTGCTCCTCTTTTGCCAGAGTACGCAATACTTTGATGGCAAGATATGGAGCACAATTAGTCCCATATGTTACAGTGAGCAACCGGAACGTTGTAGGGGCGTCCCCGTGTCGAACGCGCCACATTATTCGTTGCAAATCCACATCTTTGCTATCAACAAGAATTTGCCTGTACATTTTCTCGATATCTCCTGTAAACACTATAGGGTAATGCCGCCATTGCAAGATGATATTTGATAGATCATTTTGTAATCTGGGACCTATATGCAGACAATCATTAAGAGATATTCCGCTCAAACATTTATTAGAAGCATTGAAGACTACGCGAAGCTTCGTTGTAGAACTCGATGCTTTATAGACACCATGGTGAGGAAGATAACATGTTGAAGCTACATCATACGAGTGTGGCACCACTTCCATATGGCCACAGGTCTGATATTCGTCCATGAAATCTTGGTAGAGTTTGTACATATCCGGATCTCGGGTTAATCGCTGTAACGTGCTGTTTAATAATGCAAGTGCATTTAGTTTACTTGACTTAAGTGTTGCCAAATCAGCTTTCTGCTTGATTGGTAGTCTAACTACATATCGACCCGTTGCGTTGCGTACAGTTGTACGCTCAAAAAAATCTTCACAGTACATTTCATCTTTTGTTAACGGAGCGTGGTTTGTTATTTCTTCCAATTCCCAAAATTTATGTAGCATTTCGTGCAATGTTGCCCGAGTATGACAGCAATTAACTTGTCCTTTCACTGAAATACCCTTTCGTCGCGACAGTCCACCAAAAATTACCCAACCGAGTTGCGTATATTGGGCAACAATATTGTTAGTTGGATGCCGTTTTAGTCGCTCATAGACAATAGCAGCATAATCTGAAGCGCTCAAAATCATATCGACTGCCCCCGGAACCTGTAATTGAGGATCAGCTAAATCTAAATTCATGAACTCACCAAGCGCTTCTTTCGGTATGGGAATGGTTGGGGTAACGCTACCCACTCGTGGAAGTATTAGTGCAACACAATTCATGTTGAAATCGGATTTTAACGAATGGATTGTAAATGAAACCATTCCTCTTGAATTAGCGACCCTTTCACCATTTGCACCACTCACCGGCACTATGACATTTGTTTTGTCCAGTTTTAACCGCTGCACGATGAATTCGCTGACAAACGTTGCTTCCGACGCGCTATCCAAAAGAGCTCGCACAATAAGCTTCTGACCAGAAGGACTCCTTACCTCTATCAATGCAGTGCCAATTAAAACAGTCTGTAGATGTAAAGTTCGAGCACCTTGATTAGCACTGGAAATGTATGTATTATTTGATGTGACAGCGTATTTCTTAGTCGCTTCAGTGGTCTTTTCCGGTATATTTGAGTAATTAGTTTCTCCACCACTTCCACTATGGTCATGTAGTAATGTATGATGCGCTGCATTACATCGCAGACACCGATATTTCGATGGACAATTATGACCCATGTGTCCCGTTCTCAAACAATTGAAACACAATCTTGCAGATCTGACTACCTCATATCTCTTTGTCCCAGTCATTTGCCGAAATTCTGCGCAATATGCCAGTAAATGCTTACCTTGACAATGCACGCATTGTTGAACAGTGGTATGATGGCTTTT